ACAACCACTTATTCTTTACATAACCATAAATAATACTTTACATAATCAACGATTACTGATTATTTACATGACAAACCATCCATTAATTACATGATCATTTATTTTTCATTTGCATGATCATTTATCGATTATTTAAATCAACCGTTGATTGATTGTTTATGTAAAAAATCATTTATTATTACTCATGATTAATGATTAAGTTTAAGACCTATATCGTGTGTGAGACATGTAAACGTTCAATCAGCAGAATTATTCTTTGATTCTGGCAACGGTGTGCCGATCGTTGGGTTGTTTGGAAGGAAGGGCCGATAGGAAATGGTAAAAGGCGCGTGTTCCTCGAATCAGAGTTCACCGAGGCCGCATTCTTCCGCTTTATCTGCCGATGCACGGAGTTCCTGCTATGTTGTGGACAAAATTGTCGCGAGTCTCGCGTGCGTCCACGGTCAGTGACGTCTCCCTTCTATGTATGCTCCCTCGTCTCGTCCTGGACGAAGTCCATCACGTGACCTTGCCGGTACACTTCGTGTTTGTCTTAAAGTCGATGCCAAACGACGAACAAACACCGAGAAAACTAGCTTCTAGCTACGGAGGAAAGATACCTCCTCATCTGTACTTAACACTTGACATACAGTCCTATGTCCATTCACCTTGAAATCAGAAATAAAGTACAGCGATATACGGGAATGAACCATAAATTAATTTGTACAATTATTCATCTCGACAGAAGTTAACATACATTTCGACAAAAGCTTTCTGTGATTTAAAATGAGGAATCTAAGTCGCGTCATTTTGACGCGTTTCGTAAACCTGGTGTTAACGCTGTCTATCTTTTTGTACCATCGACGGAATGTCTTCGTATCTTCCGGGTTCGACAACGTTTCATGGGAAGTTTGATAAACAGAATAATAATAGACGGAATTATAGATCGCGTAGCTACCGGAGTCAATGGTCCTCTCGTTCGGGAGGATTCTCTTTTAAGATTAAGTCCTTCAAGTTACCGCCTCCCGCCATTGTTTGTCGATGGATCTCGAGTGTATCAAGGCTTTGCATCGCGAAATTCTGTACGCCTTGTTTGACTCGCGGAGGTATTGGTCCTTTACCATCCTCCTTTGCGGGAAATTTCTTTAACGCAGTGAAATGTAATAATTGGAGGATGTGGTATTGACTGTTTAGCATGGAAAATCTTGCGAAGAAAGTTGCACGGATGAATTTTTGGGCGATCGATACTAATATCTTGCAACTAATAGTCGAATATACCAATCCAATACTTAATAAGTAATAATTCTCTTCTATACAAAATTTACGGATTTGAAAACTTGGGAATTTTATTTATTTTTATTTCTAGCTACCTACTCGTGTACTTATTTAATATTTATTTAAGTTTCTATTATATAAAAAAATACATATAAAATTATGCAACATAATATTCTCTTTAAATTATTAAAATATTAAAATATTGTTAGGTTGGTACATCTATGTTATTCACAACATGTCGACGTGTTAGCCAATTCAAAGAAATGAAGCTGCAAAAAAACAGATTGTTTGAATTCAATTATCTGATAGATACCACAATGTGTATTTTCCCAATGTAAATCGTATTTGTGTAATCAAGTTGGATTTTTTAAACATTCACAATGCTGTTGATTCTACAATGTAAACACGTGACAACTGATATACGATGTACAAAGGTTGTCTCATTTAAATGACACAATTTGTTGTTTAAACTATGAGTTTCTAATTTAAAATCACTTAAGTTTTCGACGGATTGCATGTCTGAAATAATATTTTAAATTATGTTTTCATATTTTATAAATTCGAATTTAGAAGTTTAGAAAATTTTTAGTTGACAATTCTTCAAATTTTTCGATTATTAAAAAAATTTTTTAAGATCTCGAATAACTTCAGAATATTTTAGCAAAGAGTATCATTATCTTCGCCCACATTACCATTTTCCCTGGAGAAGCTTACCGTTCTCACTGTATATTTATTCCAATTATATCTAATAGGGGGCCATGTTCCATGGACCCTCCCTAGTTACACCACTGAAATACTTTGTAGTCTTTCACTGCATTCATCATTGCATCATATTAAAATCTTGAAAGGAGCAACATAACAGTACATTCACATATATTTTACAATTATAATATAAAACCATTATAGACTACACATAAAACCATTATAAAATATAAAATATTTTATTTCATAAAATATAAAACCATTATACTGCCACAGTATACAAAATTAAATTTCCTTGTAAAATTAAAATTGATGTCAGACATAAACCCAAAAAATAAATTTACTTACAACAAAAGTACTTACGAATATTAATATTGTAATATTAAAATTAACATTAGTCTATAAATATTACAAAAAATTATCAACTTCCTCACGAAATAAAAATTGTTAAATCGTAATAAAGTAAACAGCAAACAAAAAGCGATAAAAGTCGTGGAACGAAAGTATGCGTCAAAGGAACAGTATTTACAATAATCAACGAAACTGTCGCAATAAGAGGTAGAAATACAATATAAAATGAAAATCATTGGAAACAATCCGTGGTACCGGTGCAAGGGGAGCGTATGAAAGGATCGAAGCCCGCGAATGGAAGGGCGGAAGTGCAAACGGGGCTTAATGCAGCATCAGCATCCGACACGGTGTACTGCGTCGTGAATCTGTCTCTGTTCCTCCATTAGGTTGCCTCCCTCCTTTTAATAAAAATATTTCTCTATCTCCGTCGCACCTCTGGCTCCCTCTTCGTGTCCGACTGTCTCTCTTCATCCTTCATAAATCCTCTCTGTCCCTCTCGGCCAGGGATATAGGGTGAGTACGATTTCGGCCCCCTTCGTGGAGCCACTTAACGAGGAGGTGCTCGTTTATCGAAAACTAGTTCCTCGTCGGGGACACGGGTAAATCTTTCGTCCAGAAAATACCAGGAGCCCTTTTTTTTTCTCCCTTTTCACAAATGTATTAACGCGACACCGCGTGACGGTGTACATTTCAAATTTTCTCAGAATAAAAATTTGTCTAACAATAATTCTGTATTAAGGTAATTAAGATCTATCAAATTTGCAGAGTTCAATTAGGTGAGTGCAGGTTTAGGTGTCGCGTTAATTTTGTAAATGGCGAGGGAGAAAAGATGGCCGATTAGTCGGCACGCGCAACTTTAATCGGTTGAGTTTTCTCTGCTTTTAATGCTGGTAAAATCGTTGATACTATTGTAATCGAAGTTACCTTCGGTACACTCTGTATACCCGTATATACACACAGGTTATCCCATTCTCTTCCTCTGCGGCTGTCCTCGTTGCTTGTTCCTTCGGTCTCTTTTCATGGTCGGTGCTCCGGCCGCGAGCTGGCTATCTCGGGGTAAGGGGTAAGAACGCGACAGGGCCGTTTCCGTTAACCCCATTACCCTGTACCACCAATTTTCTATTAAAATTAATCCTTAAACCCCACTTACTATTTATATTCATCCCTCCATCTATAATCTCCTCTACAATTACATTACCCACAGCTAAATTTTGAAATAAGACATACACAAATTGACCACATTTTGTATGCAAGCATTTTGCATTCAGTACGTAAGCATTTTGTACCGAGCATTTATGTGCAAGCATTTCAGGACATTTTGTATTGCATACATTATGATTAGAATTAAATTAAAAATTCAATTAGGTCTGTCACATTTGAACCGCATTGTATGTCACGGATGACGTTACAAGGTAAGGTCAAGTTTGCAATTAAATTCATGACCTCTACAATTATTTTGAGTTACAAGTCAACCTAATCTGACACTCTGACTAATGGAAGAAGTACCTCCCACTTTTCGTAAATCTAATTTATGTAACATCAATTTTAATTTTATCACTTCATGTTTTAAATATGCCATATAAATTGTGTTTCATAAAATATAAATGATTAACCAAAGAAATTGTATACATTCCTTATATTTCATAATTAATTGCTTGTTTAATATGAATGTAATTTTAATATGGCAGAAGTCTTTGCATTCTTTTATGACTTTATTTTTATTTAACGGCCATATTGGATCTTTACGAACCTTTGAAGAGCCATTTTTAAATTGAAATGGGTGTTGATATACTTCTGTAAAATGTTTATACAGCTGGCACGGAAAATGTGTGTCATTGCATGCTGTGAAATAGACATTATAGTTTCTCAGAAATTCTGTCAGATATTAGTAATTAACGATCGGTTGTCCTATCATAAACTGTTATTTTATTGCCAAATGGCAGCAAAGAATTTCAAAGAGTGAGCCTCGCTGTGAAAATGTTGAAACACTCTTTACTTTATAAATAACTTGGAACGCGTTTAACCATTCTGTATGTGTAAATAAACTAGTATAATGTATCTGTAAAGTACTAAATTACATCTAGTAAAATAACATAGTTATTAGGAAAAACGCTGTAAAGTCCAGTTGAATTTAATTTAGTATACAATCACTTTCTCAATAATTCTGGTCTCATTTATAAGGACAATATGTCCAAGAGGTTAGTAGACTCCTACAGGGAATTATCGAGAGGCAATCAGTCCAGAAATCTTTGGTTAGCAATAAATCGTTAGTTAATTCTTAAGTAGCAAGGTTACATTTGGTCCTGTTAAAATTAAACGCAGCAACGAAAGTAAAACATCAAATTTCATAAAAGATTATATGAAATAACATAATTACAATGATGTTCATCGAGCATAAATCAAAGGACAAACTTTTCATTCATCAAATTGTTATTCATGGATTAAACACATCAAAACTTGTCACCAACAAAAATTATGAATAATGATAATATTTAACGTCTCCACGTATATCTATCAATATTAACCAACATGATTTGTACAAAGAAGAAGTAATTTCCTAACAAATGTCATCCGGAGCTCCATTTATTTTTTCTTTCCTATCGTTTTCAGACTGAGAAGTTATAGCAGTAGGATGGAGCAGTTAAGACGAGGGCCCCGTGTATAGATACGGTGTTGGGCCGCGATTCCGCGGAGCGGGGGTGGCGGCGGCGAAGTGGAAGGCAACGAGGAGGCACCGACAGTAGCTCCCAGACAGTGACTCCGCGCGTAACGACATGTAACCGGTGAATAGATTTTGCTGTATGTTATGTCATCGATGACAATTCCTCGGCATCGTCGAGAATTCGCGCACGGTCAAGGATAGAAAGTGTCGTTTTCATCGGATCGAGCGATACGATCCTCCCGCGAACGCGCCCTGAAAACGGACCTTGAAGTCGCCGAGTCCAGACAGTGGAAAGGATTAAAGAATTTCGAGGAGAGAGATTTAGGGTGCGACAAGGCCGGTGCAACCACCGTGTAAGTAGACAGAGAGACAGAGTGAGACGGTGAACAGTGACGTTGAAGAGAGAGAAGGAGAGAGAGAGAGAGGGAGAGAGAGAGACAGAGAGAGAGAGAAAGAGGAGAGGCGAATGGTTCGAGAGAAGCTCGATGGGTCGAACGTACTCAGTGCTGCCAGCCGTAAGCTCGACGGAGTCGACGCCGCAAGCTCGATGCAAATCGACGTTGTACAGATGCCTCGATGAAAATCGACGAGCCCGTTGATCCTCTCCTCTCGCGTGCACCGCATCACGGTTCGATAGCCGAACGTACGAGCGTCGACGAGCTCCGTTACCCGACTATACGGTGGACCTCTCCGGTGACCGGTCAGTTATCGCGGTGGAACCACGAAATTCCGTGTGTCCGGTGTCAGTGAACCCTCGAACCGGGTCCTCTTGTTGCCGAAGATACGCGAAAGAGACAGCAGAAGGGAGTACGCGTCTTCGGACGGAAACGCCGAGGTAGACCAAAGCGTGGCCTATGTGTCCGGTGCATCTGGCTCGCGGAAGTGCTGGGTCAACAATGTCAATGCCCTTAAGATCGATCGTTGCTTGCTCGAAACTGGCTTGTTTGTTAATGGACGGTGAGAAATTGACTTCAGGGTGAGTTGTAGTTAGCCGATGGGGTGAGTCCACCCATGATCCGAACTAATTACTTAGTAGCCTTAGCCCTGTGTCGCGAGGAACATGGTCGTTCGCTGTCGATCGAAGAATGTAATCGAAACTGTGATGACCGGTCTCTGTCAACCGCGTAACGCGTGAGCGTTCATGTGCCGAGGATACTCGAAGTGCTACCCCGTAGACGCGAGGTTCGCCGGTCGAGCGTCCGTGGAAAAATAATTGAACGTGATTGGAGGAACAGAAGCGGTTGCCAGAAGAAGTCGTCTCCGTGGACGAGTGGCAGAGTAATAACCGCTCGTTGGATGGAGTGATGAGCGGGGCCCCTGCACGGGGCACAGCGCCCCGTCGTCAAAGACGTCATCATCATCACCACCACCATCATCAGAAGCACCAGAAACAGCTACGGGACGAGCAATCGTCCGACGAGCCGGAAGAGAAACGGCCGAAGGTGAATCCGATATTTCTGTGGGCCTCGCAGCGAGAGCAGAGGATCGTCGAGGTGAGATGCGAGGACTACGACAAGAGGAATCGCATCAAGCTGACCAAAACGGCGCAGGGATGGCGTTCGATACCGAGAACCGCTTCGAACATGTACTCGACCGACTTGGGTGTCACTTTCCAGAGAACGAGCGGCGCGAACTCCTCGAGTTCGTCCGTCACAAACGGCGAAAAAGATGTCGACAAGCGGACCGAACGCGTCGCGCTGGATCTTCAACATATCCCGAGGAAAGAGTTGGCGAATGGCCGTACCAACGGTCTGGTCGACAGAGACGGTGCCGGAAGGAAGAGGAGTTACGATGAGATTAACGGAAAGATCGAGCATCGACGGGACTATGCTTATTCTATGGACAGAGTGCGAAATAACGCGAGAGTCGAAGCGCGGTGGGACGACGAGCGGCAACGAGAGTCATGCTCCGATGACGAGGAGGATGACGAGGAGGAAGACGACGAGGACGAAGAGGACGAAGAGGAAGAGGAAAGGGACGAGAACGAGAACGAAGTGGAGGAGGAAAATAGATTCGACAAAGACTTGACCAGATGCTATGGAAGAAGCAACCTGGAAAGGTTGCAGAAGGATAAGCTGTTTCAGCCGCGAGTCGTGCTGGAGCAGCTACACTTTTCTCGATTGCCCGAGGGCGTTCATCAGAATGTCCTTCAGAGACGGGAAAAAGACCAGAAGGGGCAGAGCGAGGATGATGTTATCGCTGGTGAGGAGAAGGCAGTAGTAGATAATGAAAAAAGAAGACACATGAACAAGGCGGGCATTCAGGATATACTGAACATGATAGATGCCACCGCTTCGCCCGTTCTAGCTACCGATACGCCCAGCGCCGATCTCCCGGTCGACTCCACGAAAACGTATGAGATTCTCAACGAGAATTTCCACGGTAGATCCACGGACAGAATCAAAGATTCGAACGCGACCATGCTGATGGAGTTGTCTAACAAAATCAAGGATCAGACGAGGACCGACGTGATCTCGGACTATCGGCACGAAGACGAGGACAAAAACAGCGAGCACCTCGCCGAGGATAAAATCGAGATAAACGAAGAGAAGATCCTCGCGAGCTATGAGACCGAAGGCGAGGAGAGGAAGAAGAAGCCTAGGATAAAGGACGATGTGATCATTGTGTCCGTAAAAAACAATTCGGATTCGAAATCGTGTAAGATCGTCGAAGCGGACGGTGGTCTCGCGAGTCGAGCCAAGTGTAAATCGAATTCTCGTTCTAAGTGGCAAAACGTGGTGACCGTGGACGACGACGCGCAGCTGGAAACGGAAGAGGAACGACC